TATTTATATTTGTTAATACATACTGTAAGATAGCCACACAGCTATGCCAGCAGCAACCTCATGCATCTTGGTGTTACCATGTCTAGATTGCATCGAGACTACATCAAGTGATTGACTTAAATGCATTTACACCATTGACTAAGGTTTGCACAATAACAAAATTGCTCAACTACACATTTTTCACAATGTGCAGCTGTGGCTAAGCTTTTTTTACATGTGATGTATGTTTAAAATCTGTATATGTATATACACGCGTTTGTATGTATATATACATTCAACTGTATAATTCAATGGCTTTAGTATATTTTCATACCTGTGCAGCCATCATCACAATCATTTTATCACTGTAAACAGAACCCCTAAACACTCACCTGCAGTCATAGGCAAACTATTCTACTTTCACGTCAACGGGATCATACACAGTGCATTCCTTTGTGGCTTGCTGCCTTCACTAAGCCTGGTTTTCTCAGGGTTCATTCATGTGGCATGTAGCAGTACTTACCTTTTTACGGCTCATTTTCTGTTGTATGGACCAATTTTTCTATGTTGACTGCACATTTAGTGAGCTATGGGCAACTCTGCAGTCTATCTAATGAATTAGAACTTTCATTTTATCTCCAGGAGGGCAGCATTTGAGAACAAGTACCAGTTTCCACTCTTAACCATGAGCTCCAATATTATTGACTTCTGATTCTTTGCCTGAAATTTATATCTGCTACCATGTTGTTGGCACACCCAAGCCATCGCCAGTTTTCCACTGTTTGTCACAGAAGACTGAATCTGATGACTAAAAAGGATAAAACAAAGGAGTCCCTACAAATCATTACTCCTATATTACCAGGGTCCTGGTCCATGAGCAAGTGTTAAGAAATGCTCAAAGAAAATAGATTCATCTCCTCTCACTTTCTTGGTTGTCTATGAAAGAGTAAACTCTCTCCTTGGCTCCCTCTTTATTCACTACATGCCAGCCATTCATGTTCTTCAGGGCTATTGGCCCCTCCTTCAATGGAGGACCCATCATGGCAGACCACATAGAACTTACTGATTCTGCAGGAGGTTTACACTTCTAGAGGAGAGTCTAAAGAAAAACATCATGACTTGTAGCCAGATTCTCTAATAGTGGAGCTCCCTGAAGCTTCCACAGGAAAAGCAAGTACATAATCCAAAGATGAGGTTAGGATCCTGCATACTCCTTTTCCAACCACCCATTCATCTGACAAACATTTATTCAACATTAGTTGACCGTATGAAACTGTTTTTCAAAAAGTTTTCAAGCTTAGGTGCATGTGTCAATTTAGGATCATGCTCCTCTCCCCTTAGGGAATGTCCTGATTCTTGTGGTATGCCAAGTACTGTTGGTTTTTTAAAAAATCTTAAGTCTTGTTCTCTTGGCTTGGAGTTACTTTTTTCCTCCATTTTAATGTGTCCTGCTGAGAGCCAGGTAATCTATCAAACAAGCTAGTCAACAGTTCACTGATTGCAACTTAAATTTGGACTCACTAGTTTTATATTTTGTAGCCATGGGGTTTTACTTTTTTAAAACAAATGCAGCCAGCTCATAAACCAACATGGTTTATTGTTAAGAAACGTAAGGGAGAGCACACCTTGTGTACACACGAGGCTGGACTGGGCCTGAAGTCACGCAAAGACCTGACCTCAGAGTCCCAAGTTTTGTTGTCCCTTGGAATGTTGCCGGATTGCTTCTTCCCGCAGGAGAGCTACTTATTTACCCTTTGCTTAAAACTGTTAAGGGCTACTCTGATCTCGTGGAAACTCAGCTCATCCGTGCTCTGTGCAACTGCTTTCCCACCACTTGCACTATGTTTTTGTAAAAGTATAAAAACTCTCACTTTGTTTGTTTCGGTACATCATCCTGTGAGATGATGGTCACCCTGCTACAATGATAAAAATTCAATTGCACATGACCTTTCATGTTCTCTGTTAATTTATCTCTAACAGAGACCTTAATGCTTTCAAGGGATTTATGGCCCGCATAAGATATTCCTAACAATGGGTCACTGTTTGTTGCCACAAAAGAAATTTCTTAGGAAAAATGGCAAGATCTCCAGGATCAGTCCTATTTAAAAGATCCAGTGGCTGTTTGAATCTGTAGTGGTCAATGGCAATGGACAAAGCAATGGCAAGTTGGTACACATCACTGGCTTACCCAGAACTGACCAGTTCTCTATTGGTGAGAACCAGTACACAGAGTTTAGAAAGAGTTGGATTTCCAAGTCAAAACAGCCCTATGCTACCATGTTAAGTTCCTGAATGCCAGGAAACATTAGACCTTCACCTCTAACTTAAATTACAATTTGTTTGGCACTTGTTTGTTCTTATCATAATGCAAAGAAATGATATATCTAAAACACTAAATACATGATTCTCTATATTAGGGATCTTCAAAAAGATCATGGAAAAGACGTGTTACAAAAAAAATAGACATGAATTTCAAAAACAATTTTCACCAAAATAAATCTTTAATTCTATCTTTCCATTACCTTTCTGAGATGCCCTTGTATTTATTCCCCTATTACCTCAAATATGGATGAGATATTGTATATATGATGTCTAACATTTTTAGATATAATATACCATGCCTTAAAATGAAGATGTTCAACTTTCAAGGTTAAACTTGTATTAATTATAATATTTAAAACAGCCAAAAACGGGCCCAGCAGCGTGGCCTAGCAACTAAAGTCCTCGCCTTGAACGCCCCAGGATCCCATATGGGCGCCGGTTCTAATCCCGGCAGCTCCACTTCCCATCCAGCTCCCTGCTTGTGGCATGGGAAAGCAGTCAAGGACGGCCCAAAACTTTGGGACCCTGCACCCATGTGGGATACCCGGAAAGAAGTTCCTGGATCCTGGCTTCGGATCAGCATAGCATCGACTGTTGCACTCACTTGGGGAGTGAATCATCAGACAGAAGATCTTCCTCTGTCTCTCCTCCTCTCTGTATATCTGACTTTGCAATAAATAAATATAATCTAAAAAAAAAAAACCCAGCCAAACACTTCAGTTAATAAATGTTTGCTGTACACTGTGGTATTTACAACAGTAATATAAACAGTACTAAGCATTCAGTAAAAATTGGTTCAAAGTGGCAAACTGTCACATAAGACACAGTGGGGCCAGCAGGCAGCTTTCACTATGGTCAGGAAGCAAGAAAAGATGCAAGGAAGGAAGCTAACTAAACTCAGAGGGGAGGAAGGAATAGAAACTCTTTTAGGCTGGTTCAAGAAAGGCAAAAGTGAATTGACAGCTAGAGCTCAGGTATTCCAAGGTAGGACTCCCATTCTGCTAATTATCTCAATATCCTACACCACACAAAAACCAAACACGGATTTCCCCCAAAGTAAAAAATGTTTTGGAGCCATTTTCTGAGCAACTTGTGTGTGCAACTTTAGCCGGAATTTGGCTGCCTACAGGTGTCTCTCGGGTTTCTGGTTGCAGAAGCACAGTAAGGGAAGAGCCTCTTCTGCCCTATGTAAAATCTAGCATTAAAATAAGTAGCCGAATGAACGTGATTTTCATATGAATCAAGAGACTATACACCTAGCTACAGCAAACAGAGAACAAGTAGGAAAGCCAAGGAGAAAAGGGAGGTTGGAAGTCAGACCACAGAAAGTTCTTTAAACAAAATTTTTAAAAAATGTGCTTAGTTAGATCAGCATGAATTGAGCATTTGGTACTTTCCAAGAATCTCCTAATTTCAAGAGTGTCTTAATCTCTAGACATACTTGTAAAGAACTCAGTCTACAATGACCTCACTATTTATTTACAGTTTTTATTATGTTTCCCTCCTAGAGACTCTAAGATCTGTGTCAGCAATGGCTTGTTCATGTTCCTTTCCAGGAATCTTAGTGTGTGAAAAAGTACCTGGTCTGTGTTAGGGAATTACTACTTCTTTGTTAAATACATCTGACTTGGGCTATGTTGAGTCCACAGGATATAAATGAGAGGTAAATTTTATATGACAAAGAACTGCAGATAGCTTTCTGTAAAACCATTTCATAAGGTCACAGGCCACCTGGACTACCAGGGATTGATAATAAAAGATGTCCTAATGGGGCAGATCAGAAAAGTTGGAGAAGTGTATTCCTAGCTCACAGCGAATGAGTTTGATTCTGAAGCTTCTAGATTGGCTTCGCTTTCAAACACTACCAATATTGTCAGGCAAAGAGATATGGCAAGCAAATCCAAGGAAAAATGAAGGTAGCAAAATGACACAGAAATGTTCAAGGTGAAATATCTGTCTAGAAAATGAAGATTATTCTGGTGACTGAATGCTGTCGGGCAAGAGAAGAGAAAATGCGAGCTGTGGCCCAGCCTTGGGGCAGGTGGTCCTGCCTTCAGCTGAGGTACACTCAAGCAAGGGAGGTGCCCTGCTCGGCTGGAGGGACCTTGAAGAATATAAGGGCTGTGGATAAGCAGCAGATGGAGGGAGCAAGACACAAAAGTACCAGGGAATGAAAAGTTAAAGCTGGCCAAGAAACATGTAAATGGTGGCAAAAACTGTATTTGGGCACACAGGTAAACTTTAGGAAAGGGACAGTAATTCAAAGTTTCAAGTGGCCAGACTGTGAAACTCAGAACGTTGAATTGTATGTATGAAGACATTCAAGATTCTTGAGCCTGAATAATCTTAAAGAAAGAAATCTAGTCTAAATTAACAGTTCGGAAACTTAAGCTATTCTAGACATTTAAAATTTCAACTCCGTTTCCAAAATATATCACTGTCATAAACATTTCTGAAGATAAAAAGTGTCTAAAAATAAAGACCTTATTTATACACAATAAAGTTTAAGCCAAGTGAGTTATATTCACTATGACTTATTAAGAAACTTTTTCTTTAATTAAAATATATGAGTTCTTACACGATTACGTGTTAGAAGATTCTCTTTTTAAGCTTGGGAAAATTGTATATTAAGAGTTAACTTGGTAAATTGATGAAGCATTAGCAAGCCAGATGATAAAATAAATAAAATGTACATTGTATAAAGTTCCAGAAACACTTTATTTAAAAATGGGAGTTGAAAATGCATAACAAAATAACATAAGTAATAAATGTAACAAAAATAAATAAGGAGAATAATGTATTCATACAAAATAAAAATAACATAGTAAAAGGCCAAATGTTTATAACTGAACAAAACTGTGTAACGCTTAAACAATAATGTAAGTAGAGCAGATGCTAATGTTTTCCTAAATTCCTTACCTTCCATTTTCCACATGGATATAATCAGTACCCAAACTTTAAATAAAAGGAGGAATAATGGTGACTATTTTGAACAACTTTTCTTCAAATGGATCGACCCTGTATTGTTTCATTCATTTCATTAGAGCATTTATATTTTTTTAATTTATGCTTCTTAGGCCCTTTTTAAACTCTATCTTTATAGATAGAATGAGAAATTTACCTTTACAAGGAGGAGAGTTCATTTATTTTGTTTTTAATTAAAAAAAATATGAGATCCATTATATAACAGACTTGTTTTTACATCTCTACAAAAGAAGGTTTGTTGCATCTCTGTTAACTGGTCCAACAGTACAGGGCTTCTTAAATCCTGTAAAGTTTTGACATGTAGTTACTTTGTTTCTTAAAACACATGTAGCACAGGATTATTGCTGAAATGTTGAAGATCATTTCATTAAAGTTGCAGTTTCTCTTTTATAGACTGCTGGAGTCAAGGGGAAAATACAGGTCTAATAATATTTAATTGAGTTAAGATTCATCCAAATTATAGTGTTCTGGAAACACAAAGATAAGTATTTTCTTTTTAGACTTATCCAAAAGTGAACTTACTGGGGGAAAAAAAGAGCTTACAGAGGATGCGTCTCCCAGGCTTCCTGTTCAGTAGTAGCACAGGTCCAAAGCCTTTGTCTTGCAGGGTCCTTAGAAGTGTGCTAGTCTGAGACATTATTACTGGGTCCTACAGGGAAACACACAGAAGAAATTCATCGCTCGGGAGTCAAACTACCAACTAATCTTATGACTACTGGTCCTCCAAGTCTCCTAATGAAGAAAATTTTAACCTCATGATCATTTCAAGGGATTTTTTTTTCTTTCCAACTGTCACATATAAACTTGGTAACACAGGACCAATATACATGTTCTTAGCTTTAAAAATATACTCCACCTGAACTATCTGTCTAGTTTAATCTTTCTAGTTATCATTGAACCTAAGATGAGAGACAATATCTTATTTCCATTAAAAAATTGAAAAAAAGTGCCAAATTCACTTTTTGGAAAGTGGAGTAAAACACTGTGGGATTAAAACAAATACAGTATTATCAATTGCCTATGTACAAAGAAGATGGTTAGTCCTTATTGATATATCATTATGTCCACCTACCACTCCCAGTAAATCTTAGTGCAAACATAATAGTTAATCTCCGTAAACCCCAAGACAATTTACGAAACAACCAAGTTATATAAATCACAGCTATGTTGGAAAATTTTAGGACACAGAATGATTCTTGTGAAAGGTCTGCTTTACTGTGGCGAGTATTATGTCACTGTGTCCAGTGATAATGAGTACTAATATAAATCCTATTATTAAGAAGCAAATACAATGGTTTAACAAATCTGTACAGATGAAGTGGAAGTCCATTTCAAGGAGCAGCTTGGCACAGGAGACTTGGGGGTTCAGAAATGGTGGATAGTTTTTAGTTTGTCTGTAGGTCACAGCATGGCTTAAAAGAAAGACAAAGGTCTATGATGGGAAAGGGTACAACGACATAACACCATTTTGAATATCATAAAACTACAGAAGGTGAAACTGAACAGTCCCCTTTTTCCTATGTGTGCGTCAAATGGGTATTTAAATTGTTTGAAAAGATTAATATGGCATCACACTATAGGTAAAAAATAAATAAATAAAATTAAGAAGACAGGGATAACAAATTGTAGTTTCACCAAGCTGTCTTGTTTTGTGTAAGTCAACACTACGCTGCTTCCAATTTCCTAGTCAATCCACAGGCTGTTATTTTTTTTTTTTTTTTAACAATCAAGAGAAAGTCATTCCTGTACTGTAACATCTTCCTCTTCCCCATCAGGGTTGAACCTGTTGAAATGTATACTGAAGTCAGCCTCAGATTCGGCATTCTCAAATTCTGCTGAAGCTGACATAGCAGCAGGATGAACAGCCCTCGCTTCTGGTTGGCAAAGTGTTGGTGTCTGACCGGGGCTGCTGTGGTTGTTCACAGGACTGGTTTTCTGTTTTGGTGGAGATGGCAAGATGGCATTGGGAAATCCCATGTTATTCAGAGCCTCCAAAGTTCCATCCGGGTCAATCATAGCATTGATTGCTGGAGAAAACAAAAAGGAAGAGGAGTGCAATTAAAATCTAAAAGGCATAGGACATAATTCTAAACCGTGCAGTTAAATTTGAATATGAACATGAGGTAGTTTGGATAGTTCAATTAACAGTGTGTTTGTGTGATTTTAAATGAATCCAATCTTTCCAATACTGTACTCAATACCTCACTCTTAATAATTCTATGACTGATTGTACATTAAACAATCTTGAATACTTGGTCTTATGAGTCATTTGTGGGCATTTTGAGATTAAGACTAGTATGTGGAACTCAAGAAATACAATTTTTTTTAAAAAACTGATTTCCATTATTATGAAGAAATAGTAAAAAAATGTTAGTTGTTATTTTTAATATACACCCCTCATCCTATTAACCAATCAGAGAATTGTGGGTTAAGAGCTAAGACAAGGTTCAGAGTATCCTAGAGGCTGGGGAGGCCAGAGAAACATTAGCATGCTTTGAATATATTGTAACATGTTGTCATAGACCCTGGAAGAGTCTAGGGCATCCACTGTATTTGTGCACCACTGACCTATAATGGTCCGTGTCTCAGTAATATCCTGGGGCAGTGCCAGCAGGCAGAACATACATTGCCATGACAATGAAAGCAACCAGTTGCAGATCAGCTTTCAATATAAAATTTCTTTACCTTGAGAAGGAAAGTTCTCATTATTTTCACCTTGCTATTGGACCGAGTAGGTAGTTGGCAGAAGGAGGCACTGTAGATCCAACAATCACTTAAAAATATACCCTTATTCTACCAGCTCACAAATTGTGCTAGCAAGTGACTTCTGCTTGAGAGATACTTAATCCTTAGATATGCAATGCTGAATAAAGGTTAAGGATTAGGCACTTACATAGTATGCCTACGATCATTCAACAAATAAAGACTGAGAGGAATTAACAGTTGACTCAGTCCTACTTATTGGGTCAAGATACACACAATCATTTATATATGACCTGGATTTCCCAGGAACCAAACCAAAGTCTCTGTCAAGTTGAGGTGGCAAAACTCAGGAGTCAAACATTCATTTTCTTGTCCTTCTGGTCCCCAAAGCTCAGATACACTCCTTTCTTGTGGTCCAAGCAACTATTATTTCTCATAGAATATATGGACATTTGAGGTCACACCACCAGTACAGTTTAAGAATTATCAAATTAAATAATGCTAATTATCAAAAAGATTTTAAACTATATATATACTTCATTATTTTATATTATTTATAATCATTATACTTAGTTTATAGCACCTAGCCTATTATCAATTATAAACACTAAGTATTTTAAAGTTTTTATATCAGGTTTGTATAATTTTATTTTCATGAGAAATCTGAGGGGATGGAGTTGCAGCAGAATGCTAGTATCCTATATGAGAGCCTGTCTGAGTCCTGGCTGCTCAATTTCTGATCCAGCTCCCTGGTTAAGGTACCAGGGAAAGTATCAGAAAATGGTCCATTTAAAGCACTGGGAAACAAAGAAGCATGCAGTACACATCTCTACTCCTGAACAAAAGTAGACCCCAATAAAACTGTTAAATATACCTTGACAACAAAATGCTAGACTCTACCACTGCTTATGTCTACAATGTCATGACACAAGTTAAAGGAAGAATGCTGGAGTAGAGACTCCAGCTGAAGGACTGTATTACTGTCAAATACAGGGGACAGTGGGGCAGAGAGAGGGGAAATGATGAAGAGAGGAAAGTGAGGGAAAGGGAAGCATCCCTACACCTACAAACTATAAAATGGAAAACAATTTTTAAAAATTATTTCAGAAAAGAAAGAAAATGGTCCATGTACTTAGGTCCCTGCAACCTCCCTGAGACCCCAAGTTCTTGGCTCTTTGACCTGGCCCAGTTCTAGCCACGGCAGTCATTTTGGGAAGGGAACAGCAGATAGAAGATCTGTCTTTCCCTCCCTATCTCCTACTCTCTCTGTAACTTCTCAAATATATAAACACATCTTTAAAAAAATAATTGGTTTGTATATGCTGAAAGTATATTCATACTTTTCACATGTCATTAAATAAAATAAAATGAATATTGTGAGGAACACCCATAAAATGTACTTATTAGAAAATGCCAACTCTCTGTACCAGTTCAGTAGAAAATTTACCTTGTAGCTGCTTTTCAACTCTTTTCAGCTCCTGTAAAATTGAAGAAATTTCCTGCAGGGAAAACAATAGCAAAAATTGGCTTGCTTTAGAATATTTACATTTGATAAAAAATGAATCCTACTTTCATTTTATTTTGGGCATTTAACATTAACTATGTGATACTGTATTATTTTAAAGCAGCATGCTATGAAATTATGATAATCAGTGAATAAGACTTAAATTTTAAAAACCACTAATAATGAAACTGAGTAACTTTTAAAAATAACGATGGTGTAGTAACAGGTTATCTGCTGTAGGCTAGCAACACGAATTCACATACTGCAAAAAAAGAAACGAAGGATTTGGATACAGTGTGTGCACTATCCCAATCCCAGACACTCCGATGTATGAAGCAGTGTGGATCCCCAAATATCCAAAACCTCTAAGATATGGAATGCTGCATTTCAGATAATGGACATTCAACCTGCACAATATGCACAGAGCCTGGAATGTTGATAGTGATCAATAGTGCAGTAACTTTGAAACACTGAGCATTTTCTTTTTGAAGGCATATAAACTGTAATCTTAATATACTAGGATTACATTCCAACAATGCAAATTTTTACACACTCTTTAAATAGAGGACAAGCTCTGTAGTAAGTAAATGAAACAATTCATGTCAACTTAGCATCTAAGCTCAGTTATTATTTCAAAATTGAGAAGTACAAAGGTCCATTTCTCCATAAGCAGAGCAACTTGGAAAAGACCAACATTTGGGAATCCTGTTAGATCCAGCTGAAAGTAGAACAATTTTCCAAATCTGTGCATTTATCTATTCTTTTACAAAAGTATATCAACAAACAGATGAAAAAGAAATGTTATCTTTTCCTTTATACAAACTTCTGTTATTAAGTAGGTTAATCTTCAAAAAAAATATCCTACCATGCTTGAGGTTTTCACAATAGGGACTTCACTTTCAGCTCTTAACTTGCTTTCTATTTCATCCCAATTCCGATCTTTGTCCTTAAATAATATTCTACAAAATGTAAAAAATAAGCATTTTACTTTTCACATTTTAAAACTTCCTATGTTTTGTTAATGATAACACCGAAACAATGTATCTTTTCAGAGCTACACTAGGAGAAAAACCACTACATGAACTAAAATTAAATACTGTGCCAATATTATTAATGATTTAAGTATGTGAGAGATCTGTATTTAACAAATAACAGGCATTAATATACTAAATAATACATAAACTCTTTAACGCTTCTCATTCTTTGTTGAAAATATACTATTAATATAAAACAAACACAGATGCTGATATAACCCCACAACTGTACCTAATATTTGCAATTAATACTATACCTGTCTCTTACAAAGAAAATGCAACTTCTTGATGGAATACCAGCAGCACAGGCATTTTGAGGTAAAAATAGGCTGAATTAATTATGAACAACTATTTTTTAAGACTTGTGAAATAGGCCAAGCACCTAGCTGAACAAAAGGTGAACATTCTTTTAAAGATTGCAAATTGGGAGTACCTAGTGTGCTTTTATTTACCTATTTATTTAAATTTATTTTATTTTGTTTGATAGGCCGAGTTATAGAGAGATGGACAGATTGAGAGAAAGATCTTCCATCCGTTGGTTCAATCCCCAATTGGCCAAATGGCTATACCTGGGCCATAATGAAACCAGCAGCCAGAAGCCAACAGCTTCTTCTGGGTCTCCCATAAGATAGAGAGGCCAAAGCACTTGAGCCAGCTTGTGATGCTGTCCCAGGCCATAATAAAAGAGAGCCTGATCAAAAGTGGAGCAGTCGGGACACAAACTTGAACCCATATGGGATGCTGGTGCTGCAGGTGGTTGCTTAGCTTACTATATACCACAGCACTGGTCTCCGGTTTTCTTTTAAAACTTTAATTCACATTAGTGAAATTGTACCAACTAAGTTGTTAGTAATTAAATTATAACATTATCATTAAAACTGCCCATAAATTATTGGTAAGAAATTCCCCCCGATATATCTTAAATTAGAAGCCAAATTCAATATTCTTAACTTGCAAATTATCACCAACTTTTTATTTGTCTTTTACATGTGATGCACTCTAACCCTCTGGAATCTATGGGACATGACTCAGTAGTTTTAGAAATACTTGCTGACTTTTTGGTTTTCGTTCAAATTCTTTCATTGAATCATCTGCAAATCTACTTTAATTGCTTTATCTGAACAATGACACAGAGGACTCTATGAAGGGAGTGAATTAAAACTAGTGGAAGTTGTTTAGTGTTTAAGAAGCCAACTAAGTGAATATTCTTACAGGTATTTTCCTAAAGTGTTAATATACTAGATTCACCTTATTTTTAAAAGCTACATAATTTAAAAACATCTTACTTAGAAACAATTATCAAGATCATATCAAGGGCCTGGCGGTGCCTGGGATCCCATATGGGCGCCGGTTCTAATCCCCACAGCTCCACTTCCCTTCCAGCTCCCTGCTTGTGGCATGGGAAAGCAGTTGAGGATGGCCCAAAGCTTTGGGACCCTGCACCTGTGTGGGCTACCCGGAAGAAGTTTCTGGGTCCTGGCTTCGGACCGGCATAGCATCGACTGTTGCGCTCACTTGGAGAGTGAATCATTGGAAGGAAGATCTTCCTCTCTCTCCCCTATCCTTCTCTCTGTATATCTGACTTTGCAATAAATAAATAAATCTTATTTTAAAAAAATCATATCAAGCCTAGAATAATTTCAATTACACATAGCTACACTAAAGTCAGCAATGATGTAAATAGAATCAGGGATAAAGATAAGTGAAATAAGCTAGTCAACGACAAAATAGTGCATGCTCTCTCTTACATGAGGCAAGAAAAAAACCCAAAAAACAAAAACAACTCCTTGATCCGAACACAGTGGTTACCAAGGCTTGAAGGGGTGGAGAGAGAAGTTAAATAACAGGTACCAAATTAGAGTCGGATTGAAGGAATTACACGTCAGTGAGAGACAGTAGTTCACAATATCCTGGTATGTGCTGTATGACCAAGAAGACAAAAGAAACTCCAAACTTCCAACGATAAAGTGCTGCTAAAGTGGAATTGTTGATTATTCTGTTCTGATCAGTACAAGTTATATACATAGGTTGAAATCTCACAGTGAAGCAAAAATATGTACAATTATTGTTATTAAAAATTTTTAAAGATGGTATTCAGAAGTACTATTAAATACTCAAAAGAGTAAACATTCCTCACCATTTGCCTGTTATCCGAATCAGTACAGTATTAACAATTTGCTTATGAAAATCATTATGGTTTTTGTGGGAGAGTTCTTGCAGCATTAGGACTGGTAAAAGAAATAATAGCTCTTCAGATCCATGGGGCCGCATCCAGGATTGAATCAATCACTAACTAAAATGTTTTGAAAAACGGTGAACATGTCCAGGCTTTCTCTCTGGTTATTCTTTCCCAAACAATATGCTATAATAATGAATTATAGCACATATATCTTAAATGAGGTTGTATGAGCAACCTAGGGGTGATTTCTTTTATTGGTTTTTTTTTTTGATACAATTTAGTTGGCAGTGGACTGTCCTCCCACCCTCCCAAGTTCCCTCTCCTCCACTCTGTTCTCTCGTCTAGGTTCATAATGTGTGACCATCATGAATTTTTCCAAGTCCATCATGCTTCCTCTGGAGTGTCTCCCAGCCGTGCAGAAGACTGACATTTCGTTTTGGCTAATTATTGTATCCTGAGGCCCTAATGTAGGTACAGTGAGGATTAGGTCTTCGTTGTTTATGGGCAGTACCAATAACAGTGACAGAGGGGACACTGACTCTCTCAGGTGATTATAAACAATCAACCTCTTGTGGATGGTTGATTAATGAATTATATCACAAGCTCTTGTTACATTAGGTACAGGTAAGTGAAAGTAACACTGATTAACACAGAGTAAGATTCACATATGCTATCAACCTAGAGGTGACTGAAAGTAAACAGGAAGAAGTGTATGTTACTTGCAAATACGCATTTTATGAGAGACTTGTGCATCTGCAAAATGTGGTATTTCTTCTAGATAGAATAAAATAAGAACTCTGAAAAACAGCAGTTCCTGTACAAACATTTAAAATTTAATCCATAGGAAGCACTGAAAAAGCTTCAATATTCATTCCTTTAGATTGAACCCAGTAGACATTTATATTTGTAATTTCTGGCACAGAGTTTTAAAGACTAGCCGTTCTTCAAATTACCCTGGAGCTTACCATGCAGAAAGTCCAGGCCTCTCATTTATATTTGAAGATGAAAAATCATGCCTACCTTTGAATAAAATTTCCCCTTTCCCCTCAAAGCCTTTTTTAATTATCCTACCCAGAAGTGATCCTGCCTGCCTGGGCTGTCCTCTGGCCTGGTACGTGACATCCTGTACCACACTTGATGGCACATGTGCCTCATCGTGTTAGGAGAGACAAGATAGGAGACAATAATAGAGACATTTTTTATTCTCCTTATTCTATAAAGGCTGCCATGGCTTATTCCACATAGCAAAACTCAACACTCAAACTGAAGGCAAACATTTTATGTTTAAATATAACTCAAGTATTTTCACACATTTAAAATTTTTCTAAGTTCTGTGAATTTTAAGACAATAATTATTTAATCAATGTCCTCAGCTGGTCATTTTTTTTCAAAGTAACAAAATGAGGAGAGACTCAGTTATATTTTTAGGAATATAAAGACATGATGTCAAGATACAGGAAGAAAGTCCAATCCTTTTCTCAACAGGTCATGTAAAATTTAGCCATCTAGGCCAGCCTTCTAAATTTCCTTCTAATTTTGACTGAAAGATGATATAACCTGCTTTTTAATAACTGAAACCATTTTTAAGATGGTATTTTAAAAGTATAACATAATATATATTTTAAATACTTATGAAACATTTAAAAAATTAATGACTTCTTTTGAATCATGTAATTGCATTATAATTTCATTTTTTAAAACTTACGTTTTTACTTGAGGAGCAAGAAAATAGAGCGAGAGAGAGAGAGAGAGTGCACGTGCGTGAGAGAGCTCTGATCTGGTTCACCATCCACTGGATACAATGGTTAAGGCTGAACTGAAGCCGGAGCCAGGAAATAGGAAGACAAATCGGGTCTTCCAATCATTTGAGTAACACTGATGCCTCTCAGGGTGGGCACTGACAGAAAGCTGGGATCAGAGGCCAGAGCCAGGAATCCAAATGTAGGCATGCCAGTGGGGGATGTAGGACACCTTAGCCACCAGGCTACATGTCCATACTTTCAATGTCAACATGCAGAAATAAGTACTTTTTAATGCAAAACTAAAAATGAAGTTTTTACTTCATTTTCATTTGCAAGGAGCTGCTCAATCAATTGACTGATAGAAGAGCTTCATATTGGTCATTTTGCTAATGACAAAGATAAAACTAAAATTTGAAGTCTTACAAAAAAAGCCCTAAAAGTATCTTAACTTCAACCATTATTCCACAGACAAGCAAAAACATATATGACTAATAATAAAGTTAATCTAAGCAATTATAGCTATTTATTCTCAATTATAAAGAGTCGATTGCCCAGCATGCATGTTTAGCATGTAGTTATTATCTTTAAAAAGTAAAGAGCAAAGCAGTGGCAGCGTCAGGTTCAGTTTCACTGACTTTTCTGGTTTCTACAAGCTGTGATAGCAGGCTTGGAAAAGAGGAACAGGTGACTGCTCACATAGGCAAGGGGTCATAAATACCTGATCTTTCCGGCTGTTTTATCTATCGATTGTCTTATTTTCCTAGAGAACTGAAAGACAGACGACAGCAACAGATTGTCTCCCATGACCTGAAACATTCAAACAAAAACATAGATGTTGAAATATTACCAGAACATTAGCAAAATACAGTGGCATTTAGAAGCATTTGGCATTCGTGTTGATTATAATTAAAACTTAAAAGTACCACATTTATTTTATTTTTTAATAGATTTAATTATGATAATGTTTACATGGTGAAGGAGGATGTATGTCCGTGTAAGCCACCGATTGGGATGTGAAAGGTCGAGGAATGGGGTAAAGATCAGACAACTGTTTCCAATCTTCCCATTCTTCCTGGGGGAAGGGGAGAGAGAGGAGGAGAGAGCCACTCCCTGTAACTTAACCACACCAGTCAAGGATGTGGGATGACCACTTGATGTCATTCTAGGGTCCCTGATGTGGAGCCTATTCTGAGAGTACTAATAAGCACAAAATTTATTACTTATTATTTCACAAAATATAAAAACAAAGATGTACATGTTTGTTCTCTAGGAATCCAGTGGAAAACACAAAATTTTAAAACCTACTTAAGCTGGGCATTGGTACTACTCCATTTGAGATTCATGGCTAAAACAAGGGATTAGCAAACTTCTCTAAGAATTACAGTGAAGTTGTATGCTAAAAAGCTCCTGTACAGCAAAGGAAACAATCAACAAAGTGAAGAAGCAACCAACAGAATGGGTTTTGCGCACTACATAATCAATAGGGTTCTAAGATCCAGGATTTTTAAAGAGCTTCAGAAAATTAACAACTGCAAACTGCATGGAGAAATGCATAAGAGAAAAGAACATTTTTCAAAAGAATAAATTCAAACGGCTAATAGACATGAAAAACCATTCAGGCTCCCAGTAGTCAGGAAATATAAATGCAAACAACATTGATGTTGCACCTAACTCCAGTGAGATTGGCCTACATTGTGGGAGCGCAGGCTAGTAGTACAACCACTATGGAAATCAGAATGCAGAGTGTTACGGGAACTGAAAATTGATCTGCCACATGACCCAGCTATCCTACTTCTATGAATATATTCAAAGAAAATGAAATATGAATATGAGAAAGGGATCTGTAATCCTATATTTGTAGCAGCACAATTTGTAATAGCAAAGACATGTAAAGAACCCAGATGCTTGTCAAAACAGGAGTGGATAAAGAAACAGATACATCAGAGAATCAAGATGGCAGAACAGGGCAGGGACATGTTTAAATAGATGGAGAATCATTAGCCAGGGTTAAGCAGAGGACACATTCCAGGTAATAGGAGAGTACAGGCCAATGGCAGAGGGACATTTGGAAACTAATGGACACGGGAAAGCAGTGGAGACAGTGGTGTGTTGATGCAATAACAAGATACTCCAACAGCTTTCAGTAAGCAGCCGTCTGTGATCCACCAGTGGCCAGAACTCTACCAGCAAGCAGGTGGGAAGGGAGGTTCATGGGGAGCTTAGCAGGTGAACCCAGGAAAAGGAACTGCTATTTGGCTGATTTGTTTGATTTGACCAGGAGCATACAGAGGGCAGCAGACACCAAACAGGTGGTGCTGGAACAGGGTGGATTTCACAGCCAAAACCCCCACCAAAGCCATATCGGGTGCTATTTTATGTAGAGAGGCAAAGGCTCTGGGACAGGACTGCACAGGCACTAAGCTGGGAGTGAACTTATTTCTGGCTCAGTGCATTGCACCAATGTGGTATTTTACAGGTTCCACCCCAAACAGGTCCAGGTAGACCTTAGACCTAATGGCCAGCAGATAAAGAACTTCATGAATGGCTTATCAGGTGCCATTTTGTACAGGGTGGCAAAGGCTATGAGACTGCAAGGACAGCATGAGCTTGTGTTTATACTGGGAGTGAACCCACTTTTAGTTAAGTGCATTGCACTGGTCCCACAGAGAAAATAATACGGACTTTGGCATCCTGTGGGTCAAAATAGTTCCATGTGGCCCTCAGACCTAATGGCCAGCAGGTTCTGGCAAGATCACCACCACCAATAACCTATTTAGGACAACTGGTGTCTCCCTAATCCTGGGAACTGCTTGAACTGGAAGTGTGAGAAAGTTGTACAGACAACAGTGCTGTCTCGGTATGGTATCACAGGAGGTGGAAAGTGGTGAGGAAGGAGCTGGGGCTATGGAGACTGTGGTGAAAGCCTAACGCAAGAGACCAGACCTGGAACTAGCTGGAGGGAGAGGCACAAGCGACTGCAAACAAAGAACTGGGTACCAAATGCAACAGGTAAAATTCAACAGTAGGCCTGTGGGTGACACAGCTTAGAAACCTGCCTCAAAGAGAAGAATCTGTTAACCAGAAGTAGAATGACCAAGACCAAGAGACAAAGTGACAATGAATGTTACTGAAGATTCCCCTGCAAAGGAGCAACCTTAGAGTCAACTGAGGAATACATCAATAAAATGGGGTAGACAAAATTCATAAAACTCATTATAAAGTTTCTTAGCAACAACCAGCATATATAGGAGGTCAAGGAATTAAAGAAACAAGTCACACAGGAAATAGCAACATTGAAACAAAATCAAGCTGAATTATTAGAAATGAAGGGTGCAATAATGCAAAATAAAAATTCAGAGAAAAATCTCAATAATAAAATGAATGAGACAGAAGAAACAATCTTAGAATTGGAATATAGTTCTTGTCACCAGCAAGAAACAATCAAAAAGCTGGAAGCAGAGCTGGCTCAAGTTAAAAGTATTCAAGAATTAAGAAACTCTTCCTTACTGCCTCTCCTTCTCTCTGTCTATCTGACTTTCCAATAAAATGTAATAAATAAATCTTATTAAAAGGGGCCCAGCGCAGTAGCCTGGTGGCTAAAGTCCTCCCCTTGAACGTACTGGGATCCCATATTGACACCAGTTCATGTCCCAGAAGCCCACTTCCCATCCAGCTCCCTGCTTGTGGCCTCAAAGCTGTTGAGGATGGCCCAAAGCCTTGGGACCCTGCATAAAAATATATGAATTAAAAATTATATTTATTTGACAGATAGAAAGGCCCATCTACCGATTCAAATATAGTACCCAACTATATTTTCATTTTTAAATATTGATGACAAAGAAGCATCTAATAACCTTTTTGAACTTATTTTTGTCATTTAATGCTATTCTGCTAAATGCCATTTATACGGTTACATATCAACATAGTTCCTGCACTGGGCCCGGGTTGTTTTTTTCTTTTTAATCCGGTTTACTACTATGGTGATTAAACTATATTTATTCAACTGATGAAAATATCAGTTTGAATATTCACTTTTTATGCCTATATACTTATTTATGTTTCTGAGTTTTTGTTTATTAACAATGCAACTATAGTAGCATCTTTTATGGATGGTTTTATTTTCTGTGTTCCCAGCTATCTGCAGTCATCCAAGTCCAAAAATATTAAAAGCAATATTCCAGAAAGAAACAGTTCAAACATCTCAAAATATATGTAATTCTGAGTAGTGTGATGACATGTCATGTAGCCTGGGTCATTCCTTTGTTCAGTGTATCTACAACTGTATATGCTATCTGTCCATTAGTCAGTTATCAGATCCACTGTCACAGAATCACAGTGCGTGCACACAAGCAACTCTTAGCAGCCTAATGTTAGGTCATAATGCCTACGTCATTCATCTCATTACCCTTCATCACACACGTGATGTTATTCCATTCTGGACAACAGAAATTATTCCATTCTTAAATAGTAACAGAAGCATGACATCTTCAATAAACCAATTACTCTTTTTCAAAATATGTTTTAAAGGTATTTCCTTTATTAATTAGGGGTTCATCCACATAGATTTCATTTTCAAAATTCAAAATATGTAATTATTTTAAATTCATTTCTTCTATGGATACTACTTTTGCCAAATGAAAAACAGATTGGTAAATAAAAAGCACTGAGCCACATAAATGTACAAGGAATCCATTTTTCTCACATTGCTTTTACTATGTAAAATATGTTTCTTTTTCTTTTTAGTTTCCACCTTACATCCTTAAAGGTTAAGTATAGTATAATAAAAATTTTGCAATAGAGAGGAATCCAGGGAGAGGGAGGAAGGGAAGAAGGAAGGGAGAAATAGCCATCTGATTTTTATTATAATGCAGTGCCGTAAATGTTCCATTTCATTGTTACTGCTGCTAATTACTTGTTGTGGCTAATTACTTGTTGTGGCTAATTTAGAAACCAAGTTTTATTATAAATATATACACCTACGACAAAACTATGCAAGGGGTCTTTAAGAGATCCTTGGAGAATAAATGTTATGTAAAAAATCATGCATGGATTCTAAAGGTTTTTTTTTTGAACCAAAATAAATATGCTTTTTAATTCCATTTTTCCACAAACATTTCGAAGCTCCGCTATATCCATCCAGGGTTGGTGTTATCGATTGTTTCAAGTATCCACCAAAGGTCTTAGAATATATTTCCCTCAGATTAGTAGGTTCTGCTGTATAATTACCCTTGTCAAAACTTTCTGTTGTTGATGGACAGGCAGTCTCTTATAAACACACCAGCAGGTGCTTGATCATGGTTTTGTTTTTTTTGTTTTTCTTTTTTTTGGTTTAATATCAGGAGATGATGTCAAATTGTTTTTCAGAATGAAAGTTAACCAAAATTGGCAACACATAAGAAATCCTGTGCACTCACATTCTCTCCAATGCTGAATATTAAAAATTCCTGGCCACCAACTCTACAGTTATTAAATCATCTCACTTAAGTCTTGAAATGATTTATCTATTCATAAAGTGGAATATTGGGTCATATTATACAGGTCTTAGGTATTTTCTCTTTGGTAAAATACTGTTGCTTTTCAAAGATTTTTTTCTATTGGTACGTTTTTCTCTGATTAGAAGGATTTCTTTATGTATCCTACATGCTAACTGTGGGCTTTCCAAAGATGCTTTCCAAAAGTTAGTAACTATATATATTTTTGGTATAACAAAGTATTTTTGATAGTACTCCTTACTTACTATCATCTTTTAGAATCAAAGCACTTTGTGTCCTTTAAGAAATTATTCCTTACCTTAATGATGAAAGCTACTCACATATTTCTTACTAAAAGTATCACATCTTTGCTTATTGCTTTTCATGAACAACATTCATTTGGAGTTAATTATTTGTGTACGTGTGATGTTGGGACGTTTCATCTTATCTCCATAGGGCTAGACACTCTTTCCCTAGCCCTACTGACCGAATAATTTCTCCTGGCATTTGTTAATGTTTGTGGCTTACTTACTTCATCGCGACTCCAGGTTCTCCGTCTTGTAATTGTTAAGTGATCAGGGGGCTCGGCAGGCTGAGCCACGGAGCGGCCGTTGTTTCCTTCTGGTGTTTTAGAGTTAACTACTGGAGGGATCTTTCGGAAGTTGAGGCTTTCATCAAACACACGGTCAACCAACTAGTAGGACAAAAGCAAATCATTATGAGAAACAGAGTAATTGGAAAAACTGTGCATTTGAAATTACAGTTTTCAAGATTAGACAGAAGTTATTCCATTCTCAAGTAGTAACAGAAGCATGACATCTTCAATAAACCAATTACTCTTTTTCAAAATGTTTCAAAGGTATTTCCTTTAAAAGCTAGATGTTCATCTATATAGACTTTATTTTCAAAATTCAAAATATGCAATTATTTTAAATTCATTTCTTCTATGGATACTACTTTTGCCAAATGAAAAACAGATTGGTAAATAGAAAAAACTGAGCCATATAAATGGACAATGAGTTCATTTTTCTCACATTGCTTTACCAGTGTAAAATATATTTCTTTTTCTTTTCTAGTTCCTATCATGTTTTTCCTTGCCATATCCAGGTTCCAAATTTCTTCACAACATATATTAATCACAAATTTCAAATAAGTTTACAAAAGAAAAAAATTTAAATCCAGAAAATAAGTACAAAAAAGTCTTAGGAAACTATAATAGTGCTACAGAAATCACATTAGTAAAAATGATATACTGCCATCTACAGTGCAAATTACATACGTACAATACTAAGTAACTTGGGTTTACTGAAGAGGGAATAAAGTCTAGTACAACATTTGGGAATAAAACAAAAAAGGAAAAATGGAAGTCTATTCAATGAAATGTTTGAGTAATTTTACTGAGAGAAAATGTATAATCATGTTAGACAAATTTTGTTAGAAATCTGAGAAAAATTATATAATTTTAAATGTACCAGAAGAATTGTGTATGTCTTGCCACCAATAAGATCTTTTTGTTTTTCACCAATAAGGATAATTTTGTACACAATCACAATTGATCAACGTGGTAACAAAACTCTACACAGACTGATGAAATATCATTTATTAAATTAGACAACACGTGAAGGAAAAACAAAATGAACATTAACAACAGATTAAAGAAGGAAATGTAACAGAAAGCACATTTTAGAATTAAATCTTCAAAAAGGCTAGCCATTTTGGCTACTATTTAGAACACTAGATTATAAAAATAACACAGAGCAATAAAATAACTAATATTGGAGGCTGGCAAACTTCTTATGTAAAGAGATAAATAAGAAATACTTTAAGCCTTGCAGCTAGAGACTGCATCTCAATTACTGAGTTCCGTCACAGCAGCACTGAAGTAGTTATGGTGATAGTTAACCACAAGAGTGTGGCTGTGTTCTGATAAAACTCTATATGAATGACACTAAAATCTGGATTTTATATAATTTTCAAATAATAGATCATGATGATGATGATTTTACTCTTTAAAAATGCAAAACTCATTAATAACTTTTAGGCCACATAAAAACAGGCAGTTAGGGCAGTTTGGCCAATTCCCAAACTATAGGAACTTATATTTTAAATAACAACTCTGCTTGCTTTTCTATCCAAAATCATAACATCTGCCATGGCAGAGAGTGCAGTTCGTTCTCTGCACCCAAGGATTCAACCAACCACAAACTGAAACCAGTCATCTCATCTGTATTGAACAGTCACTTTTTTCCTGCCATTATTACCAAACAGCACAATTAACTACTATTCACAAGACATTTCATATATAATCTAAGCATGGTTTGAAGTGTGCAAGAGGATATGCACAGGTTAAATGTAAATATTATCCCATTATATATATAATCTTGAGTATCCTCAGATTTATTTTTGGTTTGGTTTCTGGGAATCATGCTCTATGGATACCCAAGGATGAGTGTACCATTGTTTTTTTATACATTAAAGGCACATTCTTTAACAATTTTATACAAATAGTACTACTGAGTTGTACAGTAACATGTCCTGGTTTAGGGCAGGCAATAACCTACACATGCTAATTTAATGTTTATAATTTAAAAGTTTATGATACATAAAATTCTGATATTTTATGTATATATATATACACATACTATACACATCCAATTTTCAAATACTTTGTGTGTATACTGCTATACACACAATAATCCATATTTAAATTACTGAAATTATAGAATTTTTATCTTGGATTATGAAAATATCATAATTAATAACAATAAAAGTATCTTTTTAATCAGAATATTTTCACAGCCAAACTCTAAGGAAACTTATTCAATTACTTATTGAAGTTTTGTTTGCTTTCAGATATAATTGATACTCACATTGGATCAGAAATTAGCATGCAAAGTTTTTATTTAACAAAATTTTATAGCTTTATGTTCACAGTAGACCAAATGCTAGCCTTTACTCATTTTGTTACAACAACATAAAAGAAATTTGGTAAAGAAAAGTTGGCAAATGCAGAGCTGCATGCAAACAGGGAGGATGGACATAACCAAAATAAACGAAGCAAAAAGCTCAAAGCAAAAGAAATCAAGAAAAGAAAGAACCTTATGCATTTCTCCATGAAGATCTCCTACCTCTTCTCTAGTGTCTATGGCAGAGCCAGGGGTGGTGGCGGCAGTGCTTACTGTGGTACTAGGGGCAGTGCCTGAGGAGGTCACTGAATCTATCTCTCCTGCTACATCGTTGATCTCCCGAGCAATGAGAGCAAGATCTTGGCTGATCCTGGCAATGATTTTAGAAAAGAAGTTTAATATCTTACATAACAGGTCCAGAAACAATCATTCACGATTAGCCAGTTATATAAGTTATACATCTAACTAAAGGTTTATACTCTGAAATTAATATTCTCAGGAAATGTTACTGAACTATTTTGACACTCAAAGTCTTAGCTTAAATCCAAAAATATTCACGAAACTGAATTCAAAATAATTTATCAGATACTACCTTTAAAATATACTGCTGCTGCAATGATTAGCATTACTATGGTTTAGGAGTTCTTAAACTTGGAGGTAATGGACAGAATTCAAGGAATCGCCAGGCTTGGGAAAGAAAGAAAAATTACTAACCTCGAATGGATGCTTAACATTTGTCAATTTTAAGTCCACAAATCAAGGTAGAACTGGCATGTTGGTGCTTTGCACCAGCAGAAGCTACATTACAACGACTACAGATACCTTGAAACAGCACTAGGATCATCCTTACTTCAAAACGCTACATCACTAAATTCACAATTGTCACATTAAATATGTTCACAAAGAACTGTTGTTATTATGTCACTTTAAACTATTTTGGTGATTGTATTTCAACATAATTTTAAAGTATTTTATTCCATGTCATTCTACTTATTTAATATTTATGCATTTCAAAACAGTCTGAGAAGGGTCTCAAAAACTTCATCACATGGCCAAAGGTGCATATGGGCACTACATGCATTCTGACGCAGCACCTTCTAGTACGTATTTTGTCATTTGAGTCTCACAAAGTTCTTTAAAGACAGGAATTAACTGGTTTCCATTATTGAGGGACACACATCATTTGCTCTCAACCACAGAACTCCAATGTAGGCAATGGCCCAGTCCTCAGTTTAGCATTCATTGCCATAAGGATGTTGTGTTTCTAGTTAAACAGACTAAAGAGCCAGATAATTGAGAAAAAATACATACATTTTTCTTTTAGAATTCTTTTTCTTTTTAATCCAAACTTAGATTTTTTTCACTTATGCAATATTTGAGTCTGAAAGATTCAAGGAATGCAGAATGTGCACAAAAATTTAATGAGCTTTAACAATGAAGCTTAAGGACCAAGAGAAGCAATGTGTGGTCAAATGTCAATTTGAAAGAAATTATAGATATCTAATTCCTCTTTGACAGTAGTAAAATGTACAAAAATGTATACTGTGCACTTATTACGTGCCAGTCAATATACTAGGTTCTAAGGACTACAACACGAAGCAGAAGCAGCTATAGTCCCTGCCTATGCACCTTAGAGCACCATTGTAGTAGTATATAAATAAGCCTTATATTCATCAACTCATTTTCTTGTCAAAGCCACCCTATAAGAGAGGCACATATTAACTTATTTTCTAAATGAGCAAGGCAGAGATTAGACTATGGCCCAGTTCACAAACAGTAAATGTCCATTATGTCATGCTACATTTCACATCATTGACTTGATATATATATTCTTTTTTCTAATTTGATACCTACTTTTACAATCCTTTGAGACTAGTTCAAGGGTATTTCATTCAAGGGTAAAGAAACTTTATTTTTGCCAAAGGCCACTTGGATATTTATAACATCATTTGTGAGCTACACAAAATCAACTACTTAAAAATTAGCCCGCTATTGACTTTCTGAATTTTGAATCCCATCTCCATTTGCCTGGGCATGTCCAGGCCAGATGATTTTGCAGGCCGTTACTCGACCTGTGAGCTGGATGTCCCCTACTGCTGCTAGGGCACACATCCCAAATCTGATCAGTTAAAATATGCACTGTTCCAAAATCCCAACATGAGAACACCGACATCATACACCTCAAGAGGAAAATCACACACCTGGCTCCATACAATGTAACAGGTCACAGTCAAAATGAAGGTACACTAAAATATAGCATACAATGTTATACACATAAATACACACATATACATATTTAAATTACATATGAAATGTTTAGACATGGGTCCCATCCCCAAGAGATCTTCTTATGTGTTATAAATACGCAAATGTTTCAAATTTGGAAAAATGACAAATCTGAAACACTATCAGTTCTAACCATTTTGGGTAAAGGCTACACAATCCACATTCCAGAATTATATGAAGTAGGATTAAAAAAAAGGATATAACCAAACCTAGTTGGATTAAAAACTATCAGTTTACCCCCAAATTATTATTTTTCAATAAAATTTTTCATGCAGACATATGCACAGTGAAGTTCTGATACTGTGGAAACCCATGTGTGTTTATTAGAAACAACAGCTATCTGCAGTAAAATGTACACGAAATGAGCTAAGCATCCAAGAAGCATTCATTTCGTTTCCAAGTGTGTTATGCAACTAGATTAACACGTTCCAAATAAATCAAATAAATAATAAATACACAGGTAATGCTAAGCTGATAATGTGAATTTGCACATTAACAGTGTGTTGAAGATCTCCAGACAACCAGAGTACTTGCAGAGCAATAGCATAAAGCACCCGAGAGCACAGAGGACGAGGGCGGGCTAGTTCAGGAATGGTAAAGGAAGGAGCAGCACTCATGTGAACCTGAACGCATGCTTTCTTCCTTTTGCTACTTGGCTTTCACCTTGCCCAGCAAGATAAAAACAACCAGTTAGTGCTTGACTTTGTTACTGTGAACCAGTAAATTAAGTTTAAACTGATTTAGCAGATAGACCTGATGCCTTGATAAAACTATTTTCCTAATATTTTCTCTAAAACAAAAAGCATGTGGCTGGCGCTGTGGCATATCACATTAGGCAGTTGCCTACAACACTCGCAACCCATGTGAGCACTGGTGTGAGCCCTGGCTGCTTCACTTATTTATTTATTTATTTACAATTTATTTTATTTTTATTGGAAAGGTAGATATATACAGAGAGAAGGAGAGACAGAGAGGAGGATCTTCCATCTGGTGATTCACTCCCCAAGCTGCCACAATGGCCAGAGCTGCGCTGATCCAAAGCCAGGAGCCAGGAGCCTCCTTTGGGTCTTCCACACATGTGCAGGGTCCCAAGGCTTTGGGCCGTCCTCAACTGCCTTCTGAGGCCACAAGCAGGGAGCTGGATGGGAAGCAGGGCTGCTGGGATTAGAACCGGTTCCCATATGGGATTTTGGAGCGTGCAAGGCGAGGACTTTAGCTGTTAGGCTACTGTATCAGGCCCTGATTCAGTTTTTTTTTTTTTTTTTAAGCTCTCTGCTAATGTGCCTAGGAAAGTACCTGAGGATGGCTCCCAAGGCCTTGGGACTCTACATCTTATCGGGAGACCTGGATGTAGCTCCTTGTGTCCTGGCTTTGGCCTGGCTTTGTCCTGGCTCTGCCACAGCCCTTGCAGCCATCTGTGGAATAAACCAGTAGATGGAAAACCTTTCCCTCTCTGTCTTTTCTTTTCCTCCCTACTCTGAAACCAACTTTCAGATAAAAATAAACCTTAAACAAAATGCTGAAAATGTAGTCACATAAGACCACTCAGGCTGTGTGCTTATTCACTAAGATTAACAACAAGAACAACAACAACAAAAACAAAACCTTGGTATTTACAAAGCACACCTGCAGCCACACCCCCAACTAGCTTGTAAGTGCATACTAAAATAAAATGCAATATAGAGAATTGTTTCTTTTTAGTACTTTTGAATATAAGGAAATTGATGCTACTTAAATCTGGCCACTAAAGTTGGGTGCTACCAAAACCCAAACTAAGATGTAAAAAAGTATCACAAGATTTTAAATTATGTATTAATTTGTTCTTATCACCGTTAAGATAACATATTCAGGACGCTGACAACAAACATATTGGGCTTGAAAAATATAAACTATAAGCTATTCTCAAATGTTTTCAAATATATTTGACCAGTATTTCCTATATTTGAATTTTGCTAACAAATAATATTATGTGTAAAATACTTACTACTAAAAGCCTTTTATCTAGAAAATGTCAGGTGACTTTTCTTGGGCCAGGTATCAGGACAAAATTATTTTGAAATAACTTGAGTCTGAAAATTTGGACAAAATATTAATTATATCTTTTAGCTACAAATGAGGGCATAAACCTCATAGAATAGCTTCTAAATTGTAGCAATAATGTTGATTCTGAGGCTTATTTATAGCTGGGTTCTTATAAAATTAACTCTATGAGAGATCCAGACAAGTTTTGCAAGCTCAAAATAAAGTTCTAATGATAACTCTACACTGCTGCTTTCCGTGCACTCTGCCTTAAACGTAATTAACTTTACTGACTGCTTACTCTACAGGGACACTTCAAAAGGCTTGCCAAAATGGAGTTAAAATTTCCAAATACATTTACAGTTTTTACATAATGCACACTTTTTAATGAACTTTCTGAAGTACTCTGTTAACCTCTAGGCCAATTCTCTCAAATTGGCAATAGGCCCATTTTACAGATGAGATCACTTTGGCAGTTAATTAGCTTGTCCAGAGTTTATACTGACTCTGGTACAGCTGGATTTGAGTCTAAATGGTATGATTCCAGAGTCCATAATCTTGACCATTTGGCTATATCGATCCCTACAATGTAGGTTGCTTTTCAGAGTTCAGCAGTATTTGCAGTTTAATCATCAATCTCTGATGAAAGCACCCTTTATCACAGCTCTAAGTATTTTCTCTCTGCGAATGAGTTTTACAGCTATGATTCTAACTTTCATTGTCCACTTATGCTTCAGAGCCAAAGTGTGTCTGCTATTCTATCAGCATACTTAAAATACCTTCCTCTGGGCTCTCAAAACTAGGCCAGGATCTCACTCCAAAAGTCACAGAAACCACTGTGGGTTTGTTTCATCCTCTAACAGAGCAACTGGGGCAACTCAGGCTCCCACAGGCAGAGGGCAGGACCCCAGGGATGCCATGTACTCTGGGAGGAACTGCCAATGTCAGCAGCTGCCCTGCTCCCCTTCTATCACCAGCTAGCTCCCCAGCTTCTCTTAGGGCTGACTTTGTTGGCAATGGGAAACTGGCTTTGGGATTGTATTTTAAGCACAGTTCTGAAAGGGA